AGTCGCGCACCTAGCTTAGGAGTGACTCCAAGGCCGTTAGTTCCTTAGAGACTACCTGGTTACGAACCCGCACCTCCCCCAGGTCGAGTGATCAGATTTCAAGATATTAAGAAACTTCCCACGCCTTCATCTAGTTGTCACGGTTTTCGGCCGGAGCCCAGTCCCAGTCCGAAACTGCGAAGAATGCACTGCTGCTCCGTTCCACGTTCGCCAGATCTCCGGGTCTGGATACAGCGTACGGGGTGGTACTGCTGGAAGAGGCAGCACGGGCACGTTCGAGGCTGCCGGCCCTCTTCCCGAAGAATGAAGACGGTGGCGGCGGCGGCGGCGGGGGGCGCTGATCGCTCTCGTCGGCTTCACCCGAGCGTGTATCCTTGTCCAACATCGGAGGGTTTCCCTGTGGAAGCGGCGGCGACTCCGCGCTCGATGGAGGTTGCGGCGCGGGTATGTCCGGTAAATTCGGAAAGGGCATCGGGATCAGCCAAGGAGGTGGAGGTATGCTCGAGACTTTCTTGACAAGGGTCTTCAAGTTCCGCGCATTTGTGTCACACGTCATTGCATGCGCCACTATCGCAGTGAGGAACTCCCGAAAGAAGTCGATGCTGGGCTGCAAAGCGTCTTGAACAGCGGCAGCGGCCGGAGGCGGAGCTGGTACTGGAATTACTGGCGCGCTTTGTCCTACTCCATTATTCCCGGGCGGTTGCAGTTCTTCCCAGCCAGCTGCAACTTCTCCACTATCGACACGCCCATGGTTTTTCAGGCACGAACACCAGCGCACTGCTCTACTGTAGCTGCCTTCGACGATCCTGCCGCGTGAATATTCAAGGAGACGCAGGTCCTGTTCAACCCATTCCACTGCGCCCAAGAAGCCTCGCCGGGCGCACAGCCCGGCGTTGCACAACGCGACACCAGCCACATGGTAAAGACTAATCCCGACAGCCCACGCGTCAGAGTGAAAAACATTCAGCTTCCACGACACAATTTTATCCCCTGCCAGGTCTGCCAGTATAAGGATGGGATCGCTCCACCTGCTCTGCGTCCCCTCGTATTGAGCCTTATCTTCGCTCCACCACTCTCGCACAATAAGAGGAAGAACGGAAAAAACATCAAGAAGAAGAAGCTACCAACATTTACATAAACTAATATATGATATTAAGTATAATATTTATATAAAGTGAACACCTACTGAAAGTTGAGACAGCCGCGGTGGCGAGTGCTAGCAACTATACATACGAGAACAAACAAAAGTGGCAGTTCGAATATTTATTCGATGGATTTTCGTCATAACGCCTGTATTTTCCTCTTTTTTGCGGTTAGTTCGAAGCGCGTAGTCAAAGCCTGTGAGACGCAGTTTGTAACGGGTGCCGGCTCTGCCTTCGTCTTGTTCTACGAGGATGCTTTCTGGTTTTATGCCGCGGTGCGCGTAGCCGAGAGTGTGCAACGTGGAGACAGCTACCACAAGATCACGGGTAAATCCGTTGAACAAATGAAACCAAAAAGAAGCCGCCTCGAACTCGCTCCTGCTTTTGATATCTTCATAAAAGCGGCGGAGGCCCTTGGAGTTGACGAAGGAATGCAGATCGCCGAGCGGGAAGTAGTCTTGGACGTAAACGATGTTGAGCAGCTCCTCCTGCTCGCGCTTGGTGAATGCAGTCCACACCTCGTGCGTAGGTGCCACCATATCCTTCATGTTCTTGCTAACGTCAAGTTTGATGCAAATTCCCGCGAGTGCTTTTTCGACTGCTACAAGACCTCCATCAGCCCACCTTCGTCCCGCCGTGAGGTGCTGGACAAGATCTTCGGTGGTAAGCTCAAGGGAGCCTAGCGTATGTGGTTTAGCTCGTGCTAGGGGAAGGAGATCAATGGCACGTGCTAGGAGATCAGTGGCACTTGCCCACCATGTTTGTCTTGGTGGATTGGCTGTGATGCGGTTCATCTCCACCCGAGCAGTTGTATGCCGCAAGACATACTTCTTCGTCTGGTCTTCCTTATCTTGATCTAGGGTCATTTCATAGATTGTCGCCGCGCCGGCCTCCTTGACAGCCACTCTCGTCTTCTTCTGATCCCGCAGTTTCCGCAGCTTTGAGTTTGACTTTTTTGGCGGGACCTGGAGGTGCCACCTCACTTTCCTCAAGTCATAGCAACGCGCTCTGTCCTCTGATTGGTCAACATCTTTATCTGCAAGCGACAGGATCTGCCAAGACGAGCCAGATAGGAACTCCTGCGTCTGCGCCTCCTGAAGGCTTCTGTGCTCGTCTAATTGCTGGCTCTCGCCTGCTAGTTCTACTCCTTCTTCTTGCTTGTTCAACATTTCTAGACGATTCTTCTGCTTCGAGACGTCCACCGCGGGAACTAGGAAGAGCAACTGCAACAACACTGGCACAATCTGCTTCGAAAAGAGTAGCCGGGTACTTTGCAAGCCAGACCGCTTTCTTACTTTGTCAGACTCGGCGCAAGATGCCTGCTGGCAAGTGTCGGCAAACCTATTACGCCTCGAGGTCGAGATTGCTGGTGGTAAAGGTAATGGCAGTACTGGCTGTGTTGAATGTAGCAGTGTACTCCTGCAGAAGCTACCAGTATTGAAGTTGATGATTTGACTTTGAACATTGCCCAAGGCTACTGTTACTAGAAGAAGGAGGCGCACAAGAACTACTTGGAAGCTCTGCTTCACAAAGTGCAGCCCGGTGCCGTTTGAGGGAGCCAACTTCCGCCCTTCTTCAGGCTGCGCGCAGAGCAGCTGTTGGCAAGTGTCGGCATGCCTCCCACAACTGAAGACTCCTAGTGGTGGCGCTGATGATGGCGGTTCTGGTGGTAGCTGCCACGTACTCCTGCAGAAGCCAATGATGAAGCTGATGATTTGATTTTGAACATTTCCCAAAACTCGTACTTGTACTTCTTCTAGAAGAAGAAAGTGCACTAGAACCACTGGTAAGATGGAGATGCCCACTCCAGACCATCTAATTTGATCCACAGCGAAAATGGTCCAGCATGCGAAGAGCGAATCGCGGGCCCAAGAGGCGCGTGATCTGCGACGGTCGCCGACAAGCGCAACAAGATAGAGGTACGTGGCAAAACAAGCTGCTAGAGACGCGGTTGCCGTGAAACAGAGAGCGCCACCAGGTGAACCGGAGAATTCGTAGAGAGCGGCGCCAGGTGAACCGGAGAATTCGCAGAGAGCGGCGCCAGGTGAACCGGAGAATTCGCAGGGAGCGGCGCCAGGTGTGTCGCCGAATACCACAGGCATGACATTGCTCCACAAAGGCACAGCGTTTTCCATACGCAAGTTGCAACCAGCGTGCAGGTATAGATTAGTGCCAGTCTGGTCTCATTAGCCTTAGTCTAGGGAGCAACTTATGTGACGGCCCCCTTGATATCAAGCGTAATTGCGACTCAGAAAGAGGCCTCAAGCAGCTGGAGAATAAAGTACTAGCCTGCCATAAATAGAACTGCCAACAAGACGACCGACGCAACGAAGGAAAAACCGCTGGCGTATTTCCGACCGCATGGGTCCTCGAACGCGCCAGTGGTCTCCGAAAACGATCGCGGCTCCAGCGCGAGACCGTGTCGTAACCACAAACCGGTGTGCTCCCATGGCAGAGACCCGTCATTGCCGATCATCACACCAAACGGCGATGCCAAAAACGTCAGAAATATTGACACGATTAACAGCATCCTCCACGTGCATGAAAAGTATAGCGATATCCAGTCGTAGCCGTCTGCTGGATCCAGTAACGAAAGCGACGGCCCGCTCGCGGGTACTCGCGTACAGGTGCAGCCGACGTTCTGTGCGCTAATATTTCGTTGCTGACTGACGTCGTCCACTAATGTTTCCAGTCGTGACGTGACGGCAGCACTTCTTTGCTCAGCGCCATCGCCCTCTACTGATGTTAGCCTGGACGAACTAGAAGCACTTCTTCGCTGACCGACTTCGCCTTCTACTGAAGTTTGTCTGGACGTACTGGCAGCATTTCTTTGCTCACCCTCCTTGCCGTCTACTGATGCTAGTCTGGACGTACTGGCAGCGCTTCTTTGCTCACCTTCCTTGCCGTCTACTGATGTTACCCTGAACGTACTAGACGCATTTCTTTGCTCACCTTCCTTGCCGTCTACTGATGTTACC